ACACTGGAAATGGAAATGCGCAACTAAACTGAAAATATTAGCCCCCCTGGGAAGGCACGAGCGGGATCTTTGGTTTTTGTTGCATCGACACCGACGAAACAGAACATTGCAGCACAAAAATCACTCTACAGAGTTAGAGTACTAAAGAAAATCTCGGATTGAGAATTTATTTAAACCGTCCGCGGCCGATGACTGGTCGGGTCAAGGCAACTGGTGCGGCGCACTGTGCTGCACGCACCGGGTGGGAGGAGGGCGCACGATGCGATCGCGAGGAGAATCAGTCGCAATGGGCGCGGATTATCGGTCGATTTGCATTGGAAATAAATGAAAATCACGGCGAGTAATGAACGAGCGGGCGAGCAATGCTTGCGCTAGCAGTACGCGTTATTGTGCGACGGTGGAGGCAAAAATGGAATGGATGGAACGCGATGGGGGAAAAAATGAGCAAACGGCCGGCCACGCATATTATTGGTTGCGTGAGTTAGCTTATGTCCGCTCGGCTGCTCCTGTTTCAGCTCGCACAGCGCCTGGCGCATGACTATCCGTTTTTTCGTGTAATAAGGTGTCAACGCTTTACGCCCCTCCGGACGGGCCGTGCAGCAGTTATGGACCAGGGCACACGCCACGCACCCTCTGCTGCTGCTGCTACTGCTGCTGCTGCTGCTGCTGCTGCTGCTGCTGCAGTGCCCTATTACAACACACACTGCTTAAAAAAAGGAGTGCATCGCTTGCGCACTTATTTTGCTCGAAACCCGAGGAGAGTGACCCCCCGTTATTTACTCTAACGGTTATGGTTTGACGCCTCCTCGGCCAGTGGCTATGTTTCGAAAGCTCTATAATACCAATACCGCCACGCACCCGTCGCTCTACGCTACGCAGAGATCCCTCCCGCCCTACCGAGAGCCCCGCCCCGCTGCAGCAGGCCACCAGCCCAAAGGACAGCGGCCGCCGATTGTGGTGTTTTATTTACTCGGGAGCATTCCGGGCAACACGTGCGCGGCCGGCCGCCG